TCAGTGTTACCAGCATCCAGGTCCCACTGCGCTCTGCTTAGAAACAAAAGACTTTGTCAGTCCGAAATGCTGGTGTGAGGCAGGAAGTTTATTATCAGATGTCTTAGGAGACAGACTAGAACTATCTTCCTGCTTTAAGGTTTCAGGTGGGTTTTAATGAGGGAATGGGACGTGGGAAATGAAAAGCAGGAGGGAGGTGATGTGCAAGGGGCCAGGTACAGTCTTGCCGAGACTCCATCTGGTTTCTCCTCCTGTCCTTGTTGTTATCTCAGGGTCTGGGTAGTAGGGGCAAGTCTGCAGCTTCAGGATGGCTGGAAAACTACTTTGCATTCATGTAAATAATGCCATCTTGCCCCATAACCAAGGTGCAAAATATCAAATAAACATAGGAAAAGAGGGAACACAGAGAAATGCAGGCCAAGAAAAAAACTGTCTTCTTAAAATTTTCCTGCAGCCCATATAGTTTTAGGTCCCAGTGTGGCTTCAGTCCTGCTCACTCCAACACCAGCAGGATGGTGGCCAAGGGGGAAGCGAAAGAGCTTCGAAAATTTTCCTGCAGCCCATATAGTTTTAGGTCCCAGTGTGACTTCAGTCCTGCTCACTCCAACACCAGCAGGATGGTGGCCAAGGGGGAAGCGAAAGAGCTTCAGTTGGTCTCAGGAACTAAAGGAAATTTCAGGACTTCTTCTCTGTAGTTCTGAGGTTGTGTAGTAGCTTTGGGGAGGGCCCATCCGACTTAGAACAGGAGGCTGGGAATGCCTCTCCTTGTAGGGCTCAGGACTTCTCTGTAGTTCTGGGGTTGTGTACTAGCTTTGGGGAGGGCCCATCCGACTTAGAACAGGAGGCTGGGAATGCCTCTCCTTGTAGGGATTGTGTGTGGTGGCCAAGACACGAGATGTGGAGAAGAACCTTTACCATCCGATGGCTTGGGTTGTGGTACTTGTTAATCAGGACGCCTCTGGAAGCCCCAAGTGCTTTGTTAGCTGTCAAGCACATTGCAGTATATGGTATTATAAGAATAATTCTTAATGTACAACAGCAATAGTGAAACCAGAATTGTGATGGCACATGTTCATTCAAAGAGGGAGAAATTTTCTTGAGTATGAGTACATGGAATTCTTTAATGTGTTCATTCCGATATGCTGCAGCTGCTGCTAAGTGAATTTTCTATGTTCATCAACATAGGCATGGTGGGACCTTTATTTATCAGATTGACTTCACAAAATTTGTCAAATGGAAGAAGTTTGGTTTGGGTCCCATCTATTTTTTCCTTCTCCATTCTTGTTCCACCTGTTGACACCCTCTTCTCCTTTCTCTCTTTGGAACTCCTTATTTGCTTGGTGTTTTGCTTTTCTTAATTCTCTGTTCTCCTCATGAGCTGCCTCAGTGAGATTTAAAAAATGTTTATTTTTATTGAATTAATTGATATGTTTTAAAGGAGGAAAGGGATAAGTACAAGCTAAATTTTATTAACTGTTAGCTACAGCATTAGATGCTTTCATAATGTTCTCTCTTAATTCCAATTACTCCTCATAAGAAGGAGTATCTCCTTTTGCAGATGAAGAAACTGAGCCACACAGAGATTAAGTGGCGCTGCTCAAGGTTATACATCTAGTTACAGGGACACATTCTTGATTCACACTCAGTCTGCTAGACTTGAAAGTACTTTTTCCCTGAGTATCATTTCCTCCCTAATGTAATAAACATGTGGCCTCCTTCAAGTTTATTTGTATTGAAAGAAGATGCTGCTGCCTGGTGTAATAATGATAGCTTCCTGATCTGGAGGGTGGAGATCCTGGCATAATGTCTAGTTTTATCATTTAGTAGCCATGTGATTCCCTATCTTCAAATGTAAAACAGGGCTAATAATATCTACCCTAAGGGTTATAATGATGAATAAATGAGATGAAAAAGAGCTAAGAAAATCAGTGCCTGGCATATTGTGTGTTTCAGTATGATTATTTCCTTCTTATTTGCCTTCTTTTCAGGTTTGAAACCAGAGTGATTGTTAAACCAGAGGGGGAAAAATCCGTAACAATTGGTAATGATGGACCAGACGATAGGTGAGGTGGGGAGATTTTTCAGTACATCTCAACCCACATCAAGGCCAAAAGTTCAGATCTAAAATTGGAGATTCATTTGTAAGTTAGAATACATTATGATTATACCACAGGAAAAAAAGAACTCTATTAAAAATGTCTACTGATTTTGACCCCTCCCAAATTAATGGGACGTCTCTTTTAATAGGTCCAGATTAATCAAATATTTACTATATTCAGCTCTTCAAGTGTGGCTGAACTATTAATAAAAGTCATTCAGAAACATACAGCAATTTCCTTTTAACCATAAGATCCAAAGTAATTCCTTTGGAATGTGACCTTGAGTATAAGACAGAAAATGAAAGAATGAGAGTCTTAGTAAGTTTTACCTCCATATAATTGAGTCATTCCCTCATCTAGGCCTGCACTCAGATCTCCTGAATGATACAGACTGGAGATTGTTCCTATGGCAGCAATCTCAAATTTTAGTGTACTTAAGAGTCTCTAGGGAACCCTGGGCCTTTCTAAAGACCCTTCTCTCAGAAATTCTAAACCACTAGATACTAAGTAAGGCCTGGGCCTCCACATTTCTACAAAGTTCTTATGGTGATTCTGATCAGAGGATTCATAGATGACACTTTGAGAAACACTAACCAGTTGTTATAAGCTTATAGATTGAAAAGTGCTGTAGTTTTAAGTCACCGACCAATTTCTTTCTGTTGCCCCTCGTTCTTGACTTGCTGTACTTAACACTATGTGGTGTACGTGGAGAGAGGCTTAATATATCTTAGCTGGCAAAATAACTGCAAGAAATTTTATTTGTAAAATATTTTCATTTCAAGGATAGGGTCAGCATAAGTTATTCCTAATATTGACCTTTAGCAGATATTGGTTCTATGTTTTCCTTCTATTTCCCCAGCTTCTGAATCACAATTATCCATTTTCTTTGTAATGGAATGATCACTAAAGGAAATTAAGTGTATCACTCCGATAGCTGTACTTTACAAAAAATTCAATTTTGCAGATCTAACTTCTTCCCTTTAATTTCAGATCTCTTAGGGGCATGGAATCAGAAATCAGATTTATAAGGCTAGAAAATTCATTAAATGCCACCTAGTATGTTCCTTGCCTTTGGCAGGATCACATCTAAGACACTCTATTGCAGCTGCACTTCTGAGGAAACCAGAGGTATCTGTGTCTATGCTGTGGGTGGGCCCCATCCGCACCCATGTCCCCTCACTTCTACATCATAGATTATAAAGGTAATTTCTCTATGTATTGGCTATTGATTTGTAGAGAATTGCAAAGGCCAGAAGAGGCACCAGTTCTTCTAACTAACATCTGGAGACTTTGACATGCTTGGCAGGCATGGTCCTCATGAACAATGAAAGAATGCTTGGCAGAAGGAAGTATTGGCACCTGTTCTTTAGATAGAAAAATTGAGACCCAAAGTGTAGAATAGAAGATGCACCAGAAATGTTCTCTTCACTTTGGGCACAGGGGGTGTTCCATAACTCCCACCTTCCCACCAAATCAAAGTAGTGGGAGTTATATGGATTCAAATAGCAAGTGTTAATGTTACTCAGGTATAATGTTCAACTTTCATATTAACAAAGAATTCTTTTGAATTGTCTTACTTAACCTAAATTTTTCCCTATTACCTTCTGCTATGGATTGAATGTATCCCCCAGAAGTTAATGTATTGGATACTTGATCCCCATTGTAACAGTGTTAGGAGGGTGAGAAATCTGATTATGATATTTGGAAGGTGTGGCCTTTGAGAGGTGATAGGATTGTGAGGACTGTGCCTTCATGAATGGATTAATCCATTCATGGAGTAATGAGTTACTATGTGTGTGGACTTGTGGCTTTATAAGGAGCACATGAAAGGGTGCTTCCCATTGTAGCCATGTGATGCCCTGCATTGTTGTAGAGTCACTCCCAGAAGAAGGCCCTTACTGGATGTGCTTTCTGGACTATGGACTTCCCAGCCTCCAAAACTGTAAGAAACAAATTTAATTCTTTCATGAATTGCCCAGTTTCAAGTATTCTGTTATAAGCAACAGAAATGGACTAATATAACTTCTTAGAGAGATGTTAGTAAGAACAGGAGGCAAAGAAAACTAAGAATGGGGACAAGACAAAGGCCCAGAGCCTGGCTAACTGTAACCAGAATAAACCACTGCAAAATTTGGAATTAGAACTGTTAAGATGTTAATTGTCATTCACTCTCCCTGCCAGGCCTGTGCAGTCCATAATAGGGTGTCCTGTATGTAGTAGGTGTTCAATAAGTGCTTTTAACCCTTTCAACTCAATTCAGTGTATAAGTGATGAGCCGCTTGGCTTTAATTCTTGTACTTCTGTGACCAGAATCATGGAATTTTTAGTATGTCTGTAATGGGTGGAGAGGGTTTGGACTAGGGATGATATAAAGACCGTAATTACCTTGGGGAGTAGAAAGAGACCCTGAGCCATGGCTGAGTAGTGCTGAGCAGCTAGTAGCATCTCACAGAAGTGACCTCCATTATGGCCAGGGACTTCCTTCACTTGGGACCCTCCAGGCTTCGGGGCCAATCTCTTCTGAGATGTAGGAATGGATGGGTCCTGGGATTTCTGGTGGATGTGAGATTTGGATTTGTTACTAGGTGAGTGTGTTTGGGGCAGGCAACCTAATGTCTGGAATTTGCTTGAGTTAGCTTAACTCTCTGTGTGTCTACCCCAGGCTGATGGTTCCAAGGACCTGGAGAAATGTTGAACTGACAGAAAATAAAATCACTCCAAGACTTTCTTTAGTGTCTTGTTTGTGTCTTATGATAAATATTTATTATTTTGGTGAAAATAATTTTTCTTGTTTGCCATATTCCATCTCCTAGGAAAAAATATTGAGACCAGTGGGCATTTATTCTAGAGTTTACTGGCCTTTACTGTTTATTTAATCTTGAAAGGAAAACAGTCCCACATCAGGAAGTGGTAACATGACAGAGCCAAGCCTATAGATGTATGGTGGAGAAAACTTGAGGTGACAAAGGCTCAGGCTGTTTCAGTGGTGTAATTTTTCAGAAAAAGATTGTGCCCTCATTGTTGACAGCACTGACATTCTGCTTCCTCCTGGATCAAGTTCACAGCTATCCCCCTGCCAGACTGTGAGACTCTGGGAAAGTCACCTCAGCTTTGAGCTTCAATTTCACCATTTCCTAGAATGGGGGATTGGAAATGTGACCCGAGATGTGATTTTCATCTATACTGGTTGGAATTCTTATCTTTTAAAAATTTGAGACTTGTTTTTTGCACATTATATTAACAAAGTGAAAATCCCACAAAACTCAGAATTCCTTGAAGTATAAACTAAATCAGAGAGTCCTGAGCAGCCTGTTTGTTATAGCAAGGCGATTGCAGAGTATTTCTGCATTGACTTGGAGTCTGTACCTGATAACAGCTGAGTTCACTGGGCTTTAAGATTCTAAGAAATAATGGATTGGGGAATAATATATTGCTTAGTTCAAAACTTACTTTGCATTTTCAGTTGTAATTTTAAACCCAAACAACTTTAAGAGGCAGTGGCTTCCCAGATTCATTTCTGCCATATAATTCAAATTGCCTGTTACAAGATACTTTTATTGCAGAAAAATTCAATACACCCAATAAACCCAGTACAGCACACGAATAGGCTCTTAAGAAACTACAATTTGGTGACTTAAATGAAAATAAATCAAAAGCATGTGAATTGAGGGTTTTTAAAAAAATACTTGAATACTATAAATGTTAATATTGAGAATCAGAACACCATATATAAAATTTAATATTCTTTGTATTTATTCATTGTTAGATTACAATTTGGAGTAAATCTATGGCATCAAAGATTTTAAATATTAAACCACTTTCAGAAAGATTGCGTTTTCTGCACTTCTCTTTAATCATCTCTGAAACCTCTCCTTGGTACTGGCAGTACACTGATTTGTTAGTCTATCTCCCCTTAATAGTCTTTAGAGTTCCCTAAAGTCTTGTATAAAGTAACATTTTTCTGTTCCTTATGTTCCACAGGAATTTCTCAGTTAGAAATGGAGATAAAAAAATTTAAGGGACATTCCAGTATAACTGAAACAGCAATGTTTTCTGTTCTGGAATTTCAGTATGAAGCTATGAGCTGCTTGACTGCTTTCAGATTGAACACACACCCACGTGAGTAACTTCAAATCTCTTTATGCAGCATAAAAAAAGTCCCTTTTCTTTCTCAATCTATCTGCAAGGTACAGTGGCAAAACCAAAATGTTAAACCTTAGTTTCAGGTAGAAAGAGTTGTGATTATATTTCTCTTTACCTTTTAATTAAGTCTTATTTTGAGCAAGAAGGGAAGAGGGTGATTTAAAAATTTAAATAAAATTTTCTACTGGGTCCTATGTGCAGCTATTAATGCATAAGAAAGTTCACTGAGTTTAAAGTTTACTTTTTTTTTTTTTTTTTTGGTGGTAGGAAAGACTTCTGCCTTTAGTTCTTCTTTTGAGAAAATCTCAAATTAGGAAATACCCTTACTTGATGTCTGCCCAATCCAACTATCAACCTTACATAATTTTTTAGTCTTTGCTAAAGTTTAAAAGAAACAACTTGGGGAATTCCAAATAATGCAAGATCACAGCCTCTTAGAATTTTAGATATTGGTCAGACATTGTTTAAGGAATTAGTTCAGGACTCTCATTTCATTGATTAGAACACTGAAGTCTGAAGTTCAGCAATTTACAAAAGTTTATGCATCAAGTTAAAAACAACTGCGTCAAGAACTCAGGTTTCCTGACTCCTTGTGTGGTGTTCTCTGTCCTATGCCATGGATGGATGTGTTGATAAACTTTATCTTTTAAAGAACATTCTTAATGAATGAATTTTATATTTAAAATTACCACACATAAAAAATGATGTTTTTTCCTTTGATGTAAAATTCTCTGAATTTTATTACATGTATAGATTTTTGTAATCACCACCAGTATTTAGAACAGTACCATCACTTTGAAAACTTTCTCATGGCAACCTTT